TTCTTCCACCTCTTCAAAATGTATTTATCGGGCATATATTCAATCTGGTCCCTTCTGAAGAATGCTAGGATGTGCTTGCAAATAATTCCAACAAATTCAAATCTTTTGCAGTTACACGATGCGAGGTCAGAATCCTTGTCAAATACGACTTCTTCCACTCTTGTTTCCAAATTTTTCCTTTCGCTCACATTAAAGACAACTTTAGAAGCATCCTTTGTTTTGAGCTCTAGGAAACATGTTGTACTTTGTAGTAGTTTTTGCTAAAACTTTTGAAACATTGTCCTTGTGTACAAGGTAGCCATTTGTTTGTTCATTGGCATCGGTAGAATACATTGACCCAATTCAAATACATCTACGTGATCAGCAACTAACTCTTTTTGACGTTGATGAGAAAGTGCCCTCTCAAATCGTATTATGAAATTCATTAATGAATTTCTCCTTGATATGTATTGCTTGAAGAAACCATGAGAGCCTTTCGCTCTTTGGCTACTTGACATTCCAACGGCAAAAAAGTGTCGTGCGTAGGTTGGAACCCAAGATTCCCTTAAATCAAACATTGAACTTAGCAATGGATGGTCAATCAAACCAGCCTTTGTAACCACATTATTCCATTTTGCATCAAACTCATCCTTATTGTCAGTATCCCATATGGCTTTCTGGAATTCACGTCAATACTCCTTATAAGCATAATGTGGTAACTTAACAGAGAACTTTGATGTGATGTGCCATATGCAAAGTCGATGAAATGTAGTCGGGAAGGCTATTGAAATCGCTTTGGTCATTCCCGCATCTTGATCTGTAATGATCGTTTTAGGTTCGCCACCTGGCATGGCTTTCTTAAACCCCTCAAACATCCAAATAAACGACTCAGTCGTTTCCTTGCTCAAAAATGCGCATGCTAAGACAATTGTCTGACCATGGTTATTAACTCCCAACATTAGTGCAAATGTCAAGTCGTATCAATTCGTGTTGAATGTGGTATCGAATACAACAATATCTCCATAAAACCCGTACACCCGTCTAGAAGTTGCATTTACCCAAAAACATAAACTAAACCTGTTATCGCCATCTCCCTCAATCTTGAAATAAAAAGCCTCAATTTTTTTGTTCAGCCATGAAATACTCGGTCACTAGTTTAACCTCGTGGTTCCCCAGCTTCCCATTCACACTACATTCAATATTGTAGATATCTTTTTTGATAAAACCGATTTTGTTTAGCCATAAAATACTCGGTCACTAGTTTAACATCGTGGTTCCCCAGCTTCCCATTCACACTACATTCAAGATTGTAGATATCTTTTTTGATAAAACCAATTTTATTCATTCCTCCGAATTGCACCTCAAAAATACTTACCTTCTGATTAATGAGAATATTAACCAAACTCAACTATTTTGTGAGTACTTTTGTAGAATCTGAAATACAACGGTGTGATCTCAATAAATGCATTCTTTCTGAGGGTGTCATCTTATGATTGTGTCCCTCTGCAAAAAGAGAGATGGTATACTTCTTGCTCCCATTTTTCTTCACAACTGCAATCTTAGCTTTACAATTGCATCTACTTATTCCCCGCTGTCTTTTTCTCTCCCGAGTTTCATCTTTCCTGTATGCACCTTGTTTACAACATTCAAACTCTTTCCTCAGAATCTCTTTATTATTTTTCCCCCAAAAGTCAGAATCAAGTCAAATACCAAAGCCAGCCAAGAATGCATATCAATTATAGAAATTATAAACGAGGTCAAGCGAGTCGAACTTCATCCCAATTGCTGGTGTTTCCTCATTTATTACTTTAGGAATGTAAACCCTCTCATTAGCTGTTACACAGTCATCACTCTCTGAGACCCCAGACATTTTATCCACGTATATTATTGATCTACTTCTATATTACTGCATAGCAAATATTAATTCATTAATAAATCATTACTGCATCACAACATATCAATCCATTCCGCCCAAATTGACACAAAACACACATAGCCTAGCTTGTTGGATTCCGATTACACAAAAAGTAAGCAAAATTTAATAATAGTTACGTCATCTCTTGTGAAATAATCTGGAAAAAATAACATTAGAACCAACACGTTCAACTAAGAACACAAATGTAATTCAAACCAGCAATTACAGAACTTCACCCAATATCCTCTCCAAATGCTTACTCCTAATGCTATTAAGCCTAAGTTTATGATCTTTTACCTGCATTTCATAATTTTTCACACATCCACGTATATTATTGATCTATTTCTATATTACTGCATGGCAAATATTAATTCATTAATAAATCATTACTGCATCACAACATATCAATGCATTCCACTTACACAAAACATTGCCCAAATTGACACAAAACACGCATAGCCTAGCTTGTTGGATTCCGATTACACAAAACGCAAGCAAAATTTAATAATAGTTACGTCATCTCTTGTGAAATAATCTGGAAAAAATAACATTAGAACCAACACGTTCAACTAAGAACACAAATGTAATTCAAACCAGCAATTACAGAACTTCACCCAATATCCTCTCCAAATGCTTACTCCTAATGCCATTAAGCCTAAGTTTAGGATCTTTTACCTACATTTCATAATTTTCCACACATCCCCTCCCCCCACCCACCCCAGAAAACAATCAACTAAGTATATTGAATATTCATAAGGAAATAACGCATTATTGATAGCAGAAATGACGCATTATTGATTCCACAATACGCATTATTGATGCCACAAATGACGAATTTCTCACCCTCACAAAAAAAAACAAACCAAACCCAACAAAATCAATCTAGCAAGAGTGAACTTACCTCTCAAAGTCAATCGGGAGCTCCAAAGTCAGTCAGCTTGAGAGAATGTGGTGGACATTAGAGAAGATTCTTTGGTAGTGGAGACTCCATCTCTACCAAAATCAAGGAACAACTGCTGCTGTGGCGTCTAGCTACAAAAAGATATGCTACTTTGCTTTCATCTGGAATCTCGTTTGCTGAACGAAAAAGAGAAGGGGTTTTCACTTGAGCCATAGAATCAAAACAGGGCAATAGCTAGGTAAGAGCCATTAATCGTCATACCGAGGATACTATAGATCGTAGGCCTCCCAAGGAGCTGATGACAATGGAGCGACTACAGGGTTTGGGAGCTTTGGATCTTTCTAATTGTGGGTTTGCATTACATTCAAAAAGAAAGGATTGTGTTCTTGAGTTTTTCACAGAGAGGGAAAAATCTTCAACTGAAGTTGGGTTTCCAACGGGTTAGATTTCAACCCGGTTCTACATGCACCCTCTTTTAAAAACTCACCGTTGGATGAAATCCAACGGCTCTTACATACCCCTAAAAAACACTCCTTATAACTTTCCACTCACTATAGAAGCCCTCTTATTGCAAAGAAGGCCCAACTGATGTAAGCAGAAACCCGTCATACGCGGCCACGAAGTGCTTACACAAGCTTCAATACTCATGTCATGCCAAGAAAAAATATAACTTGGCACGTGTAGTCCCCTGTTTATCCCTCTTTTTTTTTTTTCTTTTTTTTTAAAATTTTTTTTAATGTGCAATAAATAAATAAATAATTTATTTTATTTTTTAATGTAATCCCTTGTTTACTCCTCTCTCTCTCTCTTTTTTATTTAATTTTTATTTTTTTAATGTGAAATAAATAAATAAATAAATAATTTTATTTTTTAATGTAGTCCCCTGTTCCCATATTTTGAACACTAGGTCCTTCTGAAGATGAATTATTACACTAAGCTTCATCTTGCCCAGATATCCTCTGACGGAAATCTTCATGGACATACTGCTCATGGGACATGTTGGCCTGTCTGTGACTCCCATCTTGCGATTGAGGATGCCATTGACGTTGCAGTACTGGTTCTGATTGAGCTCCAACAGAGAGAGATATGAAATCATTTTGAGACTCTGCAACCAATTGGTGAGGCTGCAATATTTGTTGCATTTGCTGAGAAGTTTGAGACAATAAAGAGAAGATATCATGTTGACCAGATGGGATATGCGGAGCATTCCTCAAACGATCTTCAACAGAGTGCTGATGGAATTGGTTATGCATCTCCGATAATCGAAACGGTTCTGTAGCTTGTTGGTGCATAGCTTCATTATGGTGGTCCATATCACGCTTTGCACTGCTGAGATCAGATGTCATTTGAGACTGACCAAAAGCATCATTGTTTAACATCTGCTGGGGCTGCGGATTCTGCTGCTTCTGTTGACGTTGCTGGTGAACTAATTGTTGCTGTTGTTGAAACTGATTAGGTTGATGAGAATGGAGGATATTCTCTCTTGAAGATAGCGGAGTTTGGAAATTTATCTTTTCTAATTGATCAAGTTGTTGAGGCTTCACATGTACACTTCGTTGTGCACCGTGCATATTCGACTAATTACTTATAAGGGGAGAGTTGGTCTTGGATATAGGTGTTGAGCTGTCTGAATTCAAATTCTGAACATTCAACATTGACCCAACAGGCGTTGCCGCACCATAGTAGTTTCCAGGCCCAAAAGAATCAGCATTACTCATTCCATAGATATCACTTGGTAAAACAATTATTACTGTAATGATAAACTGCTCAAAAATTATTTTTGAAATATATATTTCTTGATATACTCCATGTGGCATCATTTCATTGGATATGTGAGTCTTATATATATATATATATGCTACATCAACAATTTAACAGATTTTTAGACGGAAGCTAACGGTAAGGACTATTTGTGAGCACCCGTGTTAACCTTGAGGACCACAAATGACAAAAAAAAAAGAGGACGTAATCTGATAGTTTCGTTAACCTTAGAGACGTTTTGCGATAAAAAGCATTTTACCGAAAAAATTGTTAAAGGGCTAAATGGACAATATGCAACTCGTTTAGGGGATAAAACCGCAAAAAATCCAATTTATAATGAAAGAGTTGTGATTTAAAGAAGTTCAATGGCAATTTCGACATTTTAGAAAAATTTGGTTTAATTTCCAACCAAAAACGAAAATTTTGGTTTAAACGTCACACTCATAGCGCCCCGACCCCACCTTTCTATCTCCCTCTCTCAACGCTGCAGTAGCCGTCAATTTCTCGCCGGCGTTCTACCCGTCCGGGCTCCAATGGCCTCCGTTTTTGTCCCAAAATGTTCCCCTGCTTTTCCTCTACCTATTCCATCAAAATTAAGTCCATCCTACCGCAATGGAATACGGTGGCTCGTTCGAAAGAAATCCCAGAAATAGCGGCCGATTTCGAGCTATTTTCGGTGGCGGTTGCCGTCGCCACCTATTGGGTTTTGATCCCCGCCCTCGAAGGAAGCTAATCCACCAAAGAGCCCCCTCATTGGTCCACCGGCGACGGAGAATCGAAGCTGGAGATTTTTCACAGCCACCGAAGCTTTTCCGGCGAGATTTCGGAAAATCCGGCCACCATCGACCCTCGACCCAGGTATAAAGTTTGATCCTCTCATCGTACTTGACATTTTGACAGAGGTGGCGACCGGCGATTTTGAGTTTCGCCGGCGCCGGATTTTGAGTTTGATCCTCTCAAGGGTATAGGTAATTAGGATTGTTATGATAGCATGTGACTTTAACGAAAAGTTAGGATCAAGCTCTGGTGCTGCTGCTGCGGCTGTTGTTGTCGACTTGTAGTTGGTATGATAGCATGTGATTTTCTTGCAGATTCACCCGTCGCAGCCGTAAGTGGCGACAAAGTCTGGCAAATTTTTGTGTTTCATTTATGTTTGTAATATAGTGTGCGTGTGTGCATTGCAGGGTGTGTGTGTGGTTTTTACTTGATTTGGTACTACATATTTTAAGGATGTTTTGCTTTGGGCAATATTCTCCCAATACTTAATAAATTTGAAGGAAATAAGGAAACAAATTAAATTAAAACCCTGCATGGATTTGGGCAAGGTTTTTGTGTGGAATTTCTCATTTTGTGAGAAGTATTGGTGCTAAGTTTAATGAGACTTGACCAGGTATATCGAGAAAGGGATGTTTGTGGAAGTGGGCAAAGGAATATCACCTAACTTTGAACGAGTTTTGGAATTACTGTTGAATAAGGAAGAGTTTCTGGCTTTTGCACCAGACACCGAAGAAACAAGGTCAATGATTAACATAATATCGGTTAAATTTCCCCTCTTGAAGGTACCCATTCTTATCTATTGCCTGATTTTGTTACTTTTGGTATGTAGTTGTGTGTTCATGCACATGCTAGGCACATTCTTTTTCTTTAGCACATCTGAGCTTTGCCACCTCTTCTCTATTTTGAAATTTATTTTTAAAAGCATTGAAGTCTTTGTCACATATGAGATTTGTTAACCACCCTGCATAGAATGGATGATATTGGTGTGGGACTCCAGTTACCCTCAATTATATATCAAGAGTGGATTGTCTTCATTCTAGCAAACTATTGAAAAAGAAGATGTTTTGTTAACGTTACCATCCTGCTTTGATTTTCTTAAATGGTGTCCATTTGCATGGGGAGGCTTCATCTTTAGATTATGATTTTGGGGCTAACATAATTCATTAGTGCAGTATTGTGGGCAAGACATGGTCAATTAGGCTCTGTTTTTTTTGTTGTTGTCCTTTTCCTAATAAAAAAATTTAGGGTTAAGTTCTTGGCTTTCTCGCACTTTCTCGGCCTTTTGGTTAAGACCAAGTGTAGTATATGTTCTTATTAGTAGTTTCAGATGATTGACCCAATGGCCATTAATTATTAGGCATGGAATGTGTTGCTTTTTATTTATTAGAAAAATCTTATTTTCTGCCCCTTCCTTTTAACTGTACGTATTAGTTGCAAAGTTCTGAGCTTTGTATTCCCATATGGTTCTCTTTGTCACATTCAAGCATGGCTTTGTTAGTTGGAATTTGCTTGTATAAATTAGAAAATGAAATAACGGGTTTCACAATTTGTCTTTTCATTTCCTTCCCAAGGGTTTTCATGGCTCAAGCTAAATAAAGTCAATTTCATACTTACAGAATGTTTCTAGAGTTTACAAAGATGAACAGGAGCTGGAAACCTATATAGGCTCAGATCTCTATGGTACCTGCAATCAAATAATGTAAGTTGTACTTTTGTATCACAGTATGGATCTGAGGGAAATTTCCTTGAAATGAATTTCGATTATAGTTGGGACTAGAGAAGTATGAAAGACTAGTGAAGAAATGCAAATTACCAAATTTGCTTCTTTTGATGGTTTTCTAGTACTGGTCAAACGTTTCCTGCCTAATATTTTGCAGATTAGTGATCTCTTGGACTACATGACTGCAGCTATTCATGTATGCTTGATTCGCGTGAATAAGCATTGATTCAGTGCATTATAGTTTTCATCTTTTTAAATGTGGCTTTGGCTTCCTGATATTATCTGTATGATCCACACTTCTTCATGAATTGAATGTGAGGTCTGATCATGCATGCATGATCTCATTGAACAGATCCTAAATACATTTATGGTATCCAATTGGAATACGGAATATCATTATAAGTTTTTGAAAAAAAAGGAGCTAACTATCATACCTGCACCAATTAAATGTTTATCATAATGTGGATAACTGTGCTGGAGATATTACATTGGTTATGGTATGTTCTAATATCTGCACACTCTAATTACTTTACAAATTAAAATGTGTTTTGATTTTATATTTTATAATTATTTAATTTATTTTTTTTAAGTAGTTATCTGTGACTTATGCTTATAGTTTAAGACTCTTACTATACTGTATTTCTTATGTGATGGCCATTGTGTGATCACTCGATGGCTATTTTTTGAACAGCGCAAGTCTGTTTGATTCTATGAGAAGTCACATTATTAAATTTAGCTGTCACTGAATAAACTGAACTATTTGTTTAGGAATTGCTCGAATAAAAAATCAGAGCAGTAGTATTTCATGACCAAGGTCCCCAATCTTTTGATTATAGCATATGTCTCAATCACACATGGGCTTTCTCAGGATTTCCTGACGTTAAATCCATCATGGACACAAATGGTCCCTAACATAATGACTTGGAACTGGGCGTAAATACAATTCCAACAATGCAATACAGCTTCAGCGGTTTCTTAACTGTATGGTTGCTTCGTACCTTCGCCACTTATTGATTTTTGGTATCTTACTTTCATTTGTTACTTTGGTTGATGTATGGAGCTTTGTCATAACTATATTTATATTTTCTAAAAAGCTTTCTGTTCTCCTGTTGTGTTCCCAAAATTTGTCTATACAAAAAGTTGGGTTTGGATTATTAGTTCTTTTTATGCAATTCAGGGTCTAGTTTAATAATCATTCTTTTAACATTTGTTTAAGTAGATCATTGGTGATGGTTTTCTGAATCTGAATGTTAAGGTGAAACTTCAACTGATTAGTGGCACAGACATAGACAGTCTTTTTTCCTGGCTTCTTTCTTAACTCATTCATCTATATGCCGGTGGAAAAAAAAATATCCCTTACAGAATATTGATTTTTTAAATTTTGGTTTGTATATCCCACAATAGAAATAATAGCACATGCTGTCTCTAGTAACATATAAATTGTTAGTATGTGGTATATTTTTTAGAGTCTTTCTATATGTTGCAGTATTTCTATATGTTGTTCCAAAAGAATCATAATGTTGAGCCAAGTGTAGTTTGTGTCATACTCAAAGTTTGGTGCCAAGTATGATATTTTTTTCCCCAAACATAGGGCTTACTCATGTTGGTCGGATAGGGTTTATTTATACTAAAACTGGCGTCTGATATTGTTGTTGCTTGCCCCTTCTCAGACATTCTCTCAGTGTTTCATAGTGTGACCCATAAATTTGTTGTAATGGTGAATGATTCAATTGTTAATACGATATCCACTTATAGACCAATCTTCAGTGATTCTGAAACTTGATGTATTGACTTTAATAAGTTTAATGATTGTTATTTAACAATAGTGCAACTTCTAACTTTCATCCTTGTTAAATATTGTCACAATTTTTTTTTGCTTCACAAAATATTTTCTGATTCTGCCTTGATAAGCCTCTTATCTTCAATAAAATTGTGGGTGAAACTGCATGTATATTTGTGAAAATGTGTGTCCATTCTTTTTATGCCTTTATACTATTGCAGTTCCAGCAAGTTCTGGATTCCTTTATAATTTTTGCGGCCCAACAATCTGACATAAAAAATATAGAACTTCCTTCATCTTTGCCCTCTGGCGAACCTTCCTCTCTTAAAGTGCCATGGACGAGTTATGGTCCGTCAAACATTCGAATAGTCCCATTTCCAACTCGTGAATACACTGATGATGAGTTCCAGTCCATTATAAAAAGTGTCATATGGGTGTATTGTATGTATCTCTTGAATTTTTTATTTCTGTTTTTTTTCTTGTGCTTTTCAATTTCTGTACTGTTCGTGTTGTAATCTTCAGATCACAATCAATATTTCTTAGCATTAATATATTGACATTGTCTGTTTGGTTATTGTATGTATCTCTTGAATTTTTTATTTCTGTTTTATTTCTTTTGCTTTTCAATTTCTGTACTGTTCATGTTGTAATCTTCAGATCACAATCAATATTTCTTAGCATTAATATATTGACATTTTCTGTTTGGTTGTTCTGGAACTTGGATGAGCAGGCATCTTTTGGGATTTCTCTACCCAATTTCTCGGTTGATCAGCTATTCTGTGTTTGAGAAGGTTTGCTACCTGCTATTATATTTTAGGGAGTTTCACTAAAACACCCAAAATGGAGGTTGAAATTATAAAAAAACCCAACACCCAAAACACTTTATAAACACACCCAAAACCCATCATTACACACACTTAAAACCCATTTATAAACACACCCAAAAAGTTGACTTTGGGGTTGATTTTGGGTGTGTTTCTATGTTTAAATAGTGCTTGGGTTTTTTTATAAATACATGTCTAGTATTGGGTTTATTTATAAATTTGTATATATTTTACTTGAAATAAAGCTCAAGATTTACCTTATTCACCTCATGGTTTTTGTTTATTTCTTTATGTTTATTTTTTCTTTGTTATGGACGAGAGTAATTTGTTTGTCATCCTTTATGTTCTTGACTGCAACTTGTTTTTTATTCATAATGTTTTAGGAACAGAAGATAAGAGAAGGTCTTTATATGATGGGGCTGGAAGATGGGATATTCCATCTCATGGTTTATTGCATATGATTTGCAGGTTGGTTCTTTGTTCTTTTGTATTTTTGTTTAATTTATGAAGAAGTCTCAGCAAGAATTCAATCAATGTAACCCCATTTTTTATATAATGTTTTTATATTATAAATTTATTATTTAAATAATTATTGCCACCATTGCGTGCTCTTGTTTTTGTTGGAGTATTTTTGAAATATACTTCAAACTTTCAGTTCTTTGGCTTTGTAGGATAGAAGTCTAACTATTGTTGCATGGCTCTAGTATTTGTACTGTGAACAATGATTGAGTTTCAGCATTGATCAACTTGCAAGAAAGGAAGTGTCTCCTCCGATTGATAAAGCAACGTAGTCTTAATGTACCGTAGGTATTGAGGGTTAGATCATGAATATAATTAGGTACACTAGACAAGAAGAGTGAGATGGTCTATTGATAGGTTATGTTGCGTTGGTGGTAATCTAGATCACGTTCTATTTGAATAAGAGTAGAAAATATAACGTTGGACTTTTCAGTGCTTGTCATCCCTAACAATTTTATGTGCGGTTTTTTTTTTTTTTTTTTTTTTTTTTTTTTTTTTTTGGGGTTTTTTTTTTTTTTTTTTTTTTTTTTTTCTTTCTGGTAGTTTGATTTCTTCTACAATTTGCAGTTTCTTTTGCGTTTATTACAGTTTGCACTATGGATAATCTTTTCAAGTACAGTGATAAGACAGTTGTGTTCATTCACTTCTTTGGACTAAGTGCAATTATGCCCTCAGTTGCTCGTATAAATTAGAAACTGGAATAAGCTGGAAACCTATATGGGCTTAGATCTCTATGGTACTTGTAATCAAATAATGTAAGTTGTACTTTTGTATCACAATATGGATTTGAGGGAAATTTCCTTGAAATTAATTTCGATTATAGTTGGGACTTAGATTCTTAGTACACAGTTGTCCAACCAAGATTTCCCCATCCATTTGCCCAATTTGACTTCACATGTGGTTGGCGAGTTTCCCTATTTCCAATTGCTTTTAGATATTCGCGTGTACTTGTACTTAATACATGTGTTCGACAATGATTTCCCTAGCCACCTGCCCAATTTCACTGCACAAGTGGTTGACCAGTTTCTCTGTTCCTAGGTCCCTTTAGATATTCGCGTGCACTTGTACTTAATACATGTGTCCGACAATGATTTCTCAAGCCACCTGCCCGATTTGACTGCACAAGTGGTTGGCCAGTTTCCCTGTTCCTAGTTGCCTTTAAATATTTTCATGTACCTGTACTTAGTGCACAGTTAGTTGTCCCACCATGATTTCCCCAGCAACCTGCCCGATTTGATTGCAAGTGGTTAGCCATTTTTCCCGTTCCCAGTTGCCATTAGATATTTGTGTGTACCTGTACTTAGTACACAGGTGTCCGACAATGATTTCCCCAGCCACTTGCTCGATTTGACTGCACAGGTCGTTGACTAGTTTCCCCATACATAGTTGCCTTTAAATATTTTCACACAGCTAGTTGTCCAACCATGATTTCCCCAGTCACCTACCCGATATGACTGCACAGGTGGTTGGCCAGTTTTCCCGTTCATAGTCGGCTTTAGATATTTGTGTGTACATGTATTTAGTACACATGTGTCCGATAATGATTTCCCCAACCACCTGCCGGATTTGACTGCACAAGTGGTTGACCAGTTTCCTCGCTTCCCGTTGCCTTTAACTATTTGCGTGCATTTGTACTTAATACACATGTTCGATAATGATTTCCCTAGCCACCTGCTTGATATGACTGCGTAGATGGTTGGCTACTTTCCCCGTTCCAGTCGGTTTTAGATATTTGCGTGTACCTATACTTAGTACGCAGGTGTGCGACAAAGATTTCTCACCCACCTGCCCGATTTGACTGCACAGGTGGTTGGCCAATTTCCTTGTTTTTAGTTTCCTTTAAATATTTTCGTGTACTTGTGCTTAGTACATAGTTGTCCAACCATGATTTTCGAGCCACTTGCCCGTTATGACTACACAGGTGGTTGGCCAGTTTCCCCTTTCCCAGTCGGCTTTAGATATTTGTGTGTACCTGTACTTGGTACATAGATGTCTGACAAAGATTTCCCCTGCTAACTGCCTGATTTGACTGCGTAGGTGGTTGGCCAGTTTCCCAATTACCAGCTTACTTTAAAAAATTTATTGTACATGTGCAGTACACAGCTAGTTCTCCAACCATGATTTCCCAACCGCCTGCCGATATGATTACACAGGTTGTTGGCCAGTTTCCCCGTTCACAGTCGGCTTCAGATATTTGCGTGTACCTGTACTTAGTACACAAGTGTCTGACAAAGATTTCCCCAGCCACCTGCCCGATTTGACTGCACAATTGGTTGGCCAGTTTTCCTATTCCCAGTTGCCTTTAGATATTTGCGTGTACCTGTGCTTAGTACACAGTTGTCCGACAATGATTTCCCCAGCCACTAGCTCGATTTGAATGCAAAGGCAGTTGGCCAGCTTCCCTGTTCCTCGTTGCCTTTAAATATTGTCGTGTACCTGTACTTAGTACACAGGTGTCCAACCATGATTTCCAAAGCCACCTGCCCGATTTGACTGCACAGGTGGTTGGCCAGTTTCCCTGTTTCCAGTCGGCTTTTGATATTTGCGTGCACCTGTACTTAGTAAATAGGTGTCTGACAATGATTTCCCTAGCCACCTGCTCGATTTTACTGCGCAGGTGGTTGACCAATTTTCCCTTTCCCAGTTGCCTTTAAATATTTGTGTACATGTGCAGTATACAGCTAGTTCTCCGAGCATGATTTCCCCAGTCACTTGCCCAATATGACTGCACAGGTGGTTGGCCAGTTTCCCCGTTCACAGTCGGCTTAAGATATTTGCGAGTACCTGTACTTAGCACACAAGGGTCTGGCAAAGATTTCCCTAGCCACCTGCCCGGTTTGACTGCACAAGTGGTTGGCCAGTTTTCCCGATTTGAGTTGCCTTTAATTATTTTCGTGTACATATGTAGTACACAGCTAGTTCTCCGAGCATGATTTCCACAGCCACATGCCAGATATGACAGCGCAGGTGTTTGGCCAGTTTCCCCGTTCATAGTCGGCTTTAGATATTTATGTGTACCTGTACTTAGTACACAAGTGTCCGACAATGATTTCCCTAGCCACCTGCCCGATTTTACTGCACAGTTGGTTGGCCAATTTCCCTGTTCCAAGTTGCCTTTAAATAGTTTTGTGTACATGTGCATTACATTGCTAGTTCTCTGAGCATGATTTTCCCAGCCACCTGCCCGATATGACTGCACAGGTGGTTGGCCAGTTTCCCCGTTCACAGTCGGCTTTAGATATTTGCGTGTACCTGTACTTAGTACACAAGTGTTCGGCAAAGATTTCCTCAGCCACCTGCTCGATTTTATTGCACTGATGGTTAGCCAGTTTCCCCGTTCCCAACTGCCTTTAAATATTTTCGTGTACATGTGCGGTACACAAGCTAGTTCTCCGAGCATGATTTCCCCAGCGACCTGCCCGATTTGAATGCACAGGTGGTTGGCAAGTTTATAGTTCACAGCTGGCTTTAGATATTTTCGTGTACCTGTACTTAGTACACAGGTGTCCAACAATGATTTTTCCAACCACTTGCTCGATTTGATTGCAAAGGTGATTGACCAGTTTTCCTGTTCCTTGTTGCCTTTAAATATTTTCGTGTACATGTGCAGTACACAGCTAGTTCTCCAAGCAAGTTTTCCCCAGCCACCTACCCGATATGATTAAACAGGTGGTTGGAGAGTTTCCCTATTCACAGTCGGCTTTAGATATTTGCGTGTACCTGTACTTAGTATAGAAGCGTCTGGCAAAGATTTCCCCAGCAACTTGCCCGACTTTACTGCACAGGTGGTTAGCCAGTTTTCCCGTTCCCAGTTGCCTTTTAAATATTTTCGTGTAGATGTGCAGTACACAGCTAGTTCTTCAAGCATGATTTCCCCATCCACCTGCCCGTTATGACTGCACAGGTGGTTGGCCAGTTTCCCTGTTCACAGTCGGCTTTAGATATTTGCGTGTACTTGTAACTAGTACACAGGTGTACGACAATGATTTCCCCAGCCACCTGGCCGATTTTACTGCACAGGTGGATGGCCAATTTCCCTGTTCCCATTTGCCTTTAAGTATTTTCGTGTACACAGCTAGTTCTCCGAGCATGATTTTCCTAGCCACCTGCCCGATCTTACTGCACAGGTGGTTAGTCAGTTTCGTCGTTCAAAGTTGTCTTTAGATATGTGCGTGTACCTGTATTTAGTACACAAGTGTCTGGCAAAGATTTCCCCATCCACTTGCCCGATTTGACTGCACAAGTGGTTGGCCAGTTTCCCCATTCCGAGTTGCCTTGAAGTATTTTCGTGTACATGTGCAGTACACAGCTAGTTATCCTAGCATGATTTCCCCAGCTACCTGCCCGATATGACTGCACAGGTGGTTGGCTAGTTTCCCTGTTCACAATCGGCTTTAGATATTTGCGTGTACTTGTAATTAGTACACAGGTGTTCGACAATGATTTCCCCAATCACCTGCTCTATTTGACTGCACATGTGGTTGGCTAGTTTCCTCATTCCTGGTTGCCTTTAAATATTTTCGTGTACATGTGCAGTACACAGCTAGTTCTCCGAGCATGATTTCCCCAGCCACCTGCCCCCCATGACTGCACAGGTGGTTGGCCAGTTTTCCTGTTCACAGTTGGCTTTAGATATTTGCATGTACCTGTACATAGTACACGTGTGTAGCAAAGATTTCCCCAGCCACATGCTCGATATGACTGCACAGGTGGTTGGTCAGTTTCCCCGTTCCTAGTTGCCTTTAAATATTTTCATGTACATGTGTAATACACAGCTAGTTCTCCGAGCATTATTTCCCCAGCCACTTGCCTGATATGACTGCACAGGTGGTTGGCCAGTTTCCCAATTCAAAGTCGGCTTTAGATATTTGCGTGTACTTGTATTTAGTACACAAGTGTTTGGCAAAGATTTACCCAGTCACCTGCCCGATTTGACTGCACAAGTGATTGGCTAGTTTCCCTTTTCGAGTTGCCTTTAAGTATTTTCGTGTACATGTGCAGTACACAGCTAGTTATCCGAGCATGATTTCTCCAGCCACCTGCCCGATATAACTGCACAGGTGGTTGGCTAGTTTC